AACATCGATTCCCAATCCTTTCTTCCCAGTCCCGGGTTTCTTATACCCACAACACACTCGCCTATGGGTGTAAAATTCCACGTTTTTGATAATATTAAACGCAGCGTGATGTTATAGCCTAAAGGCTTCCTCGATAAATGATTTAAGAAACACAAAAATAATTATTAAATTCGAACTATTCGTTCCTGAGATTACTGCGTTTAAACTAACAAACTCCTAGTTTTATAATAGATGCTGAGGATTTTCACTTTCAATAAAGTGAAGTGCTTACCTTTCCCCTGTCATTAGAAAATAAAATTATATATTTTTAATAAAGGACGTCTGGTAGGCACTCTACGGGATCGAGTTGAAACGAAATCTTTTTTGTCTGGATGTAAATTTGTACGCATGCGCGCGACGAACGTAAAATCAATAATCCACAGCTGAGATGCTGCGTCCCACGGACCGGGGAAATTGATGTACGCTTACGTTGTAGTAACGTAAATTATGGGAGCGTTTCCTTTGAAGGATAGGATTAAGCTTGGATACTTTCTGAATTTAAATGGATAATTTAAATTCTTTATTTATTTATTTTTTATATCAATACTTATTATTAAACTCAACTTATCAACACGCCTTTGAATGACATACGAACACATAATGAGGTGGATATGATAATGAACTTTTACTTTCTCACTATTAGGCACAGATCCCCTCTTATGAGTGACAAGGTTTTAGGAACCCATCACTTAGCTCCAGTGCGGGTCGGTGGGCTTTAAGTACCGCTATGTTTGTGTATTGGGGCTGAAAGTTTCACGTGCTCTTCGAGGAACCAATTGCGATATTGTTCTTGCCTATTTTATGAGCATATTTTTCAGATGGTTTCAATAGGTTTAAACAACATTTTATATTAAAAAAATATGGTAAGTTAGAATATAATGATGAAATAATCAGGCGGAAATAGAACCGAATCGAGTCATATACAAACGGGGCGTGGCCCGTTGGCATACGACACATTCATTTCTACTGCTAGACCAATACGACGTCGTCCGCATCACGTCGTTCTTGCAAATTAATCTTAAAAGATAGACATACACTGTCGCATATGTTATAGAATAAATTTCCCCGTTCCTGGGATTAGTGCCTTTTAACAAACTCTTCAGTTTTATAAGATTAGTATAGATTACTCCTCAATTAATTCTACAAAACCCTAGACTTGACTAAGGAGTTATCTCCCATTTTGTCCCCTTCAGTTCTGAATAAGTTGATATTAGAAAGAATAACATCAGAAATGGATCTAAAGAAAACTTTACATATCGTGCGTGAAAAACAACGAAAGTACAGTCACATGGAAAGTTACTATATTTCCCGTTTGGTTCATTCTTACTCTACATAACACGTAAATATTCTAATCAAATACACGTCTGTCTGGATATAACATTATGTTTACATTGTCGCATTAATAAGGAAGCGTGGCAATAACAATTTCAAATTAAGAACGCAGACGCGATTCGTTGTTCGCTGCGCACGCGCATTGCCGGAAGTCGCTAATGCGGTAACAAGCTGACATCCGCACCATGGGTGCCATATATGGGCGTCGATTTTGACATAGACTGGCGAAGTGGAAGTTGACAGTTCTCTAAACCAAATTTATATAACTGACTAAAATAATACGGTTAGATTATGCTGTCTGGTTTAGATAAGATATGTTGCTTCAACTAAAACGGTGTATTTGTCCGAGTCGTACATATTAACGAATATAATTCCGTTTAACACTTAGAAGAGTCAATTTAAATAGTTCTACATTTACTGGTATGTTACAAACTATATTGAAGATACACTTACCAAACTAACTTACTAACAATATTTCGTGGTTTATATGTACTGCTCAGCTAGAACAACGACATGAAACTATGGTAGTAGTACTTCTTTTAAATGCGAAATGCTTTTTGGGAATAGGTTTTTTAGTGGGAGTGGGAGTTAGAAGTAGGAGTTGATGTGAGGTGAGAGTTTTGCGGCAAAGTAGCGCTTACAACATAGATTGGCTGCGATAAATGCGCAATTTCATAAATTAATAACCAGCCTTATAATTAAAAATTCTACCCCACATCACTATTCCACGCGAACGAAGTCGCCGGCACAGCTAGTTACTAATAAAAATACACTACTTTTTCTATTCTTAAATTAATATATATATTGTGTTTGGGTATACTTGTTATGTTTTGCTAGTCTACACATCGCATCTCAAAATCTGTATTTTTAACTATCCAAGTGAAATTTATTTTTAACTTTGATTAACGTGCCACATCAATGTTAAGACGCTTTCCCCATGCATCCATCATCAACGTATTTTCTATCACAATTTACAGCTTTCAACATAGCCGATGGCGTACGAGAAATGTGTGTGTAAACTATTATTAGATTATATAGCGATTATACTTATATTAGTATAAATATAGGATATATCGTAATAAAACATATTTGAATAAAACACTTTAAGGGTTTAAAACGCGATACATATATATTTTTACTTAAACTTATTTGAAAATTCACATATTTTTCCATTAGATAAGTGTACTAATACATATCGCGTTTTAAACCGTTAAACTGTTTTATTCAAATATATCCTACTCGCGTAAACTTAAGACAGTATTTAGTTATAAATTATTCTCATTAATTCTAGTGTCTATAGATATAATCCGAGGTTTTCTGCTAATACAAAAAATGATTTCTTCGCCTAGAACTACTCGACCGATTTTAATGAAATTATGTTAATATGCCCAGAAACTTCCTAGTCGCCTCATTTTGATAATAAATATTATAAGACTGGCGGCACAGGTTTAGGTAATTATTTAGAATGTTTTTGTCGATTACCTGTGTTGCCTAGCATTACAGTAAGCGTTAGGAGTCCTACACTCGAATCCCGGGGAAACATTAGACTGTTTAGGTCGGGCAGGGCACAAAAGGCTGATGGTGTCCGAAACTAAAACCGCTCAGTGAAACGGACCTTTTTGACGATTTTGTTTTCCATTTTTTATATAATAAAAAACAGGTATTCATAACTATTTCTTTAAGCAAAAGTTAGCTATATTTAAGACCTACGTTTTAGTAAGTGGATGCAATACCAGGCTCTAATTTACAAGGGTTAAGAATTAATTTCATATCAAAGTGATTTTCATTTTCATATTAACAATTTTAATGTTACATAGAAGACCGTATACCGTTATAACTATTTTCATTTCTCCACTTTATAAATATACACGTCTATAAACATTCAAATGCATGACTGTCATATTCTTAATAGCCCTTAAAAATAAGTGACAATCATTAATCATTGTGTCCCATCTTTAATGATTTAAACTGGACTGGCTTTTTACGGCAATAGGAAATAATATTTAACATAAATATAACAATATTCAATTGTTATAATAAATCACGACATTTAATGAGTTTTTAATATTTTTATGCGTATTATAATATTTTTACTGACTTTTTTATTCTTCAAACACCATTCTGTATATCTATACTATACTAATATATAAAGCTGAAGAGTTGTTTGTTTGGACCCGCTAATTTTAGGAAATACTGGTGGGAATTAAAAAATATACCGGGGAAGGTTTATAGGCTATAAAATATCGCGGTGCGACTTATGGGGCAGCGGGAAATGTGGAGGAAACGGTAAAAAATATTCATCTTTGTGGGTTTTCGTTGCGTACGTTGCGAAAACGGTTCAAGAAACCTAGAAATTATCTAAGAACGAATGGTGCCCTTTTAAACAAAAGGTCCGCGACCCTATATGTCTATCTTTTAAGGTAAACTTGCAAGAACGACGGGTCGCGACCGTTGTCGTAACAGTTAAAATTTATCAAGTTGAAAAGGACGTTTGTAAAAACAAATTTTGGTGACCGAAAGCGGACGAAGTCGCTGACACAGCTAGTGTGTATATAAATATCGTAATATCATATTATGTATATAATGGAAACTTTTTAACTAAACGTATGTGTCATAAATCACGTGTTTAATTTCAATACCATAAAAATAATACTCAACAAATTTTTATCTCCCAATAAATTAAATGGCCCTACGAAAAAATGACGTCCCGCATTATTTCGTAGGGTCAGATTCTATTAACCTTATTAATAATATTTTCTCGGCAATTGGTTAAATTATATCGCTTTGTTTGGTAAATAAATCACTTCTAATGGTCTGTGAGTCAGCAAATATGTTAGCTGGAATAAAAAATGGGTCGGTATGGACTTGGTTAATGGTTAAAATTGCTCGCATTGTGTAGCTGGCGAAAATATGAAGACTATTTTGATTAATTGCTCGTGTATACCAACGAATTAACTAATACATATTCGCGACTTTGCGTATTAGGTTTGGGGGTTTAATTTTTGCACGTATTTTTAGAAAATAATTAACGACACGAGCGGGACTTGAACCGACACTTATAGTAACTGCTTCAACCAATTGAGGTAAACGGCAGCTTAACATGAGTATCCTTTTTTATATAAATAGATTCAAAATTTATTTAATGCAAACATGTTTGCTGATAGAGTCTATTTATGATTTACCCGGCATTCGAACCCAGAGCGTCTCTCACTAAACGTGATATGGCAAGATGTAAAAGTGGTCCGGTTTCCCCCTCGCCCCCCCTGGGGCGACCACATTTTTGTGCTCGTTTCATTGCTCCGTTTTTTTAACAGGCAAGTAGTTGATCAGACTTCTGTGCCCTGCCCGACCGAAACAATTTTTTGTTTTCCTGGTATTCAAACCCAGAACGCGCTTAACGCAATGCAAGGCAATACCTCTAACTATTTGGCTACAGAGGCGGTCAATGGCAAGATGTACATTAGTAATATTTTTTAAACTTACAACATTTATATAAAACAGTTATTTTAAATAATAAGTTTTACCTTAACCAACAATTAGTAAAAAAATATTAATAAAATGGTGACCTTTGTATGAATCCGTGTTCACTAATTAACTATCAAGTGTTTACTTATAAATTTTTATTTCAGACAAATCGGGCGTAACCTAATCATCCCTGGTGGTACCAGAACGATAGATGCCACTGGCAAGCTGGTGATGCCTGGCGGTATCGACCCCCACACCCACTTCGAGCTGGAGATGATGGGCGCGAAAACAGCTGACGACTTCTATAAGGGAACTAAAGCAGCTGTTGCTGGTGGTACAACCACAGTCAGTGAGTATTCATCGCTGGATTTAAAAAAAAGAATAATTTTGTATCGTTTAAAAAAGGTGTGCATGCTAATGTTATAAAGCTGAGGAGTTTGTTTGTTTGGACGCGGATATCTCAGCAACTACTGGTTAGAATTTAAAGTGTATTTTTGCGTATTGGACCATTTAGGAAGGCTATAGGGTATAAAACATAAGGCTGGGACATCAACATAAGAACGAACAAACAAATATGAAAAAAAAAACAGGAAAAAATGTTAAACTTTGAGGGATTCTGAGCGATTCAATTTGCCGAAAAAATAAGTATTAAAATTTAATCTCATTTAGATAATCTAAGAAAATGTTCGCCACAATATATATCTATCTTTTAAGATAAACTTACCAGAATCGTTGTATGGTAAATTCAAAAAGAAAATTTTCCGAACTAAAAGGTCTATTTATTTATATAATATTCTCTTTTTAGTCGACTTCGTCTTGCCAAACAAGGGTCAGTCTTTGCTGGAGGCCTTCGGTAATTGGAGACAGAAGGCTGATAACAAGGTAAGAATACTTATTTCATAGATATCTATAAGTACTGAAAATATACTCCTGAAAAAATACAGTTGTACAGTTCGTACAATTAGTCTTGTATAATTAAAGTTTTACATAAAGAACGCCCACAGTGAACTAGGTCAATTTGGGCATCTTTAGTCGATGCATCGTCGGGTCAAAACTGCCAATAAAAAAGAATATGACTTTGAAATTTTCATTAAATAAAATTTACTTCCTTTTTTACAATGAATAAATCCAACAATGAAGGTTTTATTTTAATGCAATACTGTCTGTAGTTTACGTGAATAGTACATATTAAAATAAAACACTTAAACGGTTTAAAACGCGTTCAGCAAAAAGTAAAGAATCCGAAACGTCGGGCCGTAGTTAAAATAATTTTAAAATAAGTTTAACTAATATATGTTGCGTTTAAAACAAAGTTGTTTACATTCTTTGACTATTAGTGGCTAGAAATGGCCATTGTAATAAGTTACAAATAATAACCAACGTGTTTTGATTCCAGGTGTGTTGCGACTACGCCCTGCACGTAGGAATAACGTGGTGGTCTCCAGCTGTCAAGAAAGAGATGGAACAGCTGGTCGCCGAGCATGGAGTCAACTCCTTCAAAATGTTCATGGCTTACAAGGACGTGTGGATGCTTGATGACTACAACCTCATGGTTGCCATGGAAACATGTTCTGAATTGAGGGCACTGGCTCAGGTAATCTTTCAAAATGTTACCACTTTCCTAAAGATATTTTATAAGGGTGCTCTACAGTCTCACGTGTAATATCATGTGAAAAATATTTAAGTTTTTTAGACCCACCATGTTATTTCAATGTGGCAATTGAATATTAAATTTAATTTAGTTTAGTATTTAAGTTTAATATAAAAATTTAAAATTTTATTTAATTTTATTCAATGATTTTTTATTTAAAAAATACCATAATGACGTAAACAAAGGACAGCTTTTAAACAATTTGATATACGTTGTTTATAGGTAAAAATAATACACTAACTTTATGAAACGCGACATATATAAGTTAAACGTCAAATACGATTAACTATTATAACTCGCGTTTTAAAGTAGTGTTTTATTTAAATGTTTGTAGGAAGTTCATTAAATAATTTTAATAGGTACATGCAGAGAATGGTGACATCATAGCTCGGAACACTGAGAAACTTTTGGGGTCCGGAGTCACAGGACCAGAGGGTCACCAGCTATCTCGTGATGAAGAAGTTGAAGCTGAAGCTGTCAACAGAGCTTGTGTTATTGCTAACCAGGTATATAATTATTTACATATTTATGTAGGGTAGTTGTTTTTTTTTAAATGCAATACTATCGAAATCACAAAAGTGTATAGGCGCCTTTATATATTATGATTAAATATAAACCCTGGATTTTTTAATGATACAGGAGAACAGACAAGTATGAGCCTCGTACCACAAGATGTTCTGTTAACCTATTTTGGTTTTGGATATTCGGAAATCCACAGACTGTTACCGAAACGCGATTTGACTTTACGGCTTTTTCATCCTTGGACGGTGGTTCGTGACCCGGACGGATTTTTCGATATCCTACCACCAGATCCAACGAAGTGTAACAGAAAAATTATAAATTGAAAAATTAGAAACATGTTAGTCCCGGTGGCGATCGAACTCATGCCCCGTTGATTATTAACCAAAATGGCTGCTTTTATGAAAACTGTATGTAATGTAATAAATATTATTTACATTTAAGTTTTCATAAAAGCTGTCCACTTTATTTAAAAACAAACAACACTCAAACAGACAAACATCCGCTTTTTTTAATAAAACCAATATATAAATATTATACCCACTTGTTTGTCCAGCGGTAGCAAAGGCCAAATATTTGATAGCCAAAAGGTCCAATCTAGAAATAAGTCTGTAAAAATCTGGATGCTAAATGGGTGGTAAGAATATCAAACTTTCGCCCGGGTCACGAACCACAGTCCACTGATTGTAACCCCTTTCGGATATAGTCTGTGGATTTACGAATGTCTAAAGCTAAAGATCGACAGCATTTTAGATGTTATAAGACTCAGTTATATTACACTTCTCTTAAGAGACATAACCCTTTTCTCTGACATAACTTGATGTAAGTTTTTTTTTTAATTTCAGGCAAACGCCCCTTTGTACATCGTCCATATGATGTCAAAAAGTGCTGTAAAAGCTTTAAGGATCGCGCGCAGCCGGCAGCGGCCACCGGTCTACGGGGAAACTCTTGCGGCTACAGTTGGTACTGATGGTAAGCATTGATTGTCTCGAGAGACTCTTAGTTCAAATCCTGGCGATAACAAATTCTTTTGCTCGGGTTAGAGAAGCCTACTTTGCTTTTGATCGATCAGCGAGACGGACATAAAAATGTGCTCGTTTATTATGACTATAGGGGCGAAATTGAGAATGAGTAAAGACCGACTGTGATCGTCACTTAGTCATGGAACGCACAAAATTTAATTATGACATCCACTAGTAATGTTCAATCGTCAAAAACATTTCTCAATTACGATGCCTAAACTCTAAAACCCAACTACCTTCAATACTGTTCGTAGTTTACGCGAGTAAAACACATTTTGACAGTTTAAAGCGATATACATTAGTTAAACTTATTTGAAAATTATTTTAACTACGACCCGACGTTTACGAAACGAATGAATATCGCGTTTTAAACCGTTAAAGTGTTTTATTCAAATCCAATCTACCTTTACAAAATGGCCGTGATGATACCTTTTAGAGTTTTTGTAATATCTTTTAATATAACATCGCGCTCAATCCCATTTCAGGTACACACTACAAGAACGCGTGCTTCAGGCACGCTGCTGCCCATGTCCTGTCCCCCCCATTGCGACCTGATCCCTCCACGCCAGAAGCTATGGTGCAGGCTTTAGCTGAGTATGAATCCTTTATTAACACATCCTAAATTTAGCACAGAAGTTTTACGATTCAAGCTGTTATTTATCTATTAAATGTAAAAGACCGAAAAGATTTATGAAAAAAAGGCTCTTGTTTTACAGGACTTAAGTCGGGATTCAGAAATCTACACTACTTTACCACTATAATTAGTACACCACACATTAGATTAGTACACCACGTTTATTCGTTACAAAACTTACTTTTCAGCAGTGGAACTTTTAATGACTTAAAGGGGAAGACTAACATGTACAATTTTTATCTCTCTTCATATATATTAATGTATATTTTCAGCGATGACCTTCAACTGATCGGAAGTGACAACTGCACCTTCAATGAAAGGGAAAAGGAATTGGGCAAGAACAACTTCACCAAAATCCCCAACGGAGTGAACGGCGTCGAGGATCGCATGGCTATACTGTGGCAGAAGGCTGTAAACACAGGTATCTATTCATTTCATATTATATGAGTGACTTGAATTCTATTTCATCGTGTCGTTTATGTTATTTTTTTTATTTCACTCTAAACATAATCAGAATTGACCATACCTTACTTAAGACATTGAACAGTAAATTTATTTAATACTAGTTGTGTCAGCGACTTCGCCCGCGTAGAATAGTTATTTTGGACATTAAATACTGTCTTAGTTTACGCGAGTAGTACACATTTTAAATAAAACACTTTAACGGTTAAAAACGCGATATATTAGTTAAACTTATTTGGAAATGATTTTTAACTTCGGCACGACGTTTCGGATGCTTTGCAGCAGCCGTGGTCACGGGGAGACTCGGATGCTTTGCAGCAGACGTGACCACGGCTGCTGCAAAGAACAAGAAGTGACTATGTCCTTTCTCAGGCTCTAGAATATCTATGTGCCAAATTTCATTTAAATCAGTTCAGTAGTTTCGGAGTTAAAGCCGGACAGACAGACATAGTTACTTTCTCATTTATAATGTTAGTATAGATTTGACAGATTTTTCTATACAATTTTAAAACAACGGTTGCCCCAACTGGTCACGTTATACATTGCTGGCTATGACGTCATATTTCCCACAATAGACTATTTAATGCAGTTTAGTTTGATGAAAGGTTTATAGAAAGAATACAAAATAAGCATTGGAACTAATTCTGTGATGGGTTCGAATTCTGCCTGTGTCAATTTTTCAATGCGAAATTTGCTTAAACGCTCTCAGAACTATAACAGCTTAAATGTCTTACAGGTATCATGGACCCATGCCGCTTTGTAGCAGTTACAAGTGCGAACGCCGCGAAAATCTTCAACTTGTGGCCCCAGAAGGGACGTATCGCGGTCAACAGTGATGCTGATGTGGTGGTGTGGGACCCGCGTCTCGAGAGAACTATTTCTGCGGCCACGCATAGTCATACTGTCGATTTTAATATTTTTGAGGTAAGTTCAAATTCAGCGTTCAAATCCTGGGGAGACAGGGTTTTTAGTCAGGTAAGGTTCTTGCTCAAGGCTCTTGACTTACCTGTATATAGAATTGTTTAATGAACGCAGTAATGTGTCTACGCCACGTCCCACATGGGGCATATGGGACTTTATCTTTGACAAATTTTAATTACATAAATATAATTCTTAAATAAGTAAAAGATATTTCGTGTAAAAATGATAAATAGTCCAGAATGATTATATTTTTTTAACAAATCAAATCTTTTGTTGGTAATTTTTAAAGAAATAAAAAATACAAGTATGTATTTGTGAAGTTCTGATAACCAAAGAATGATGTAACTAATGAACTATAGAGAAACAGGTACTTATAATATTTTATGTATGGTACTATAATTTTAAAATTCTTAAGACTTTCACTTAATCACTTTTAAACATTTGTACACTTTACAATACGTAATTCACTAGTAGCTGTCAGTTTGAGAGTTGCAACAACTGTTATGTAGTTTAAAAAGGACTTTTAACGTCGGTAAATGAAAATTTTAAATGTCGTAATCGATTACCGGCCGTTTACGACAACTTCCGCCACGTTCGACATTGATTGATCCTTCCAATAAGCTAACAATATCTCATGTATTGTAAGGGAATGATGTAATCTTTCTTTTTATATTCACAGGGTCAGCACGTCGTCGGTAGCCCACAGTACGTCATAGTCAACGGTCGAGTGTGTTTGGACGATGGAAATCTTCGAGTAGTTGAAGGTAATTTCACTAATTATCTTATTCATTTATATTAATTTCTAAAATTTTAACATTACAAACATCTTAAGAGAAAAATATTATCTGTTGTTTCATGTGAATAGTCCACTTTTTAAAATTGTAATAAAACACTTAAGAATTTTAAACTTTTATTCCTTTATTTTAACTTTCACCCGGTTGGACATTAAATATACAACATGCTTTTAATTGCATGTCGAAAACTTATCTTTGCAAGGAATAAAATAAATAGAATCTCATTTCTTATTATGTCTTTTCTTGTTTAAAAAAAAACGTATCGTTTCCAGGTCTGGGTAAATTCCTGAAGACTCCAGCCAACTGCCCCTACATTTACGGCGAAGAGAGATCCCGCTCGCCGCAGACTGAAAATTTGGATGTGCCAATCACACCTTCCAAGATCACTAACGGCACACCAACACACGGTATTTTCATTGAGTTATTAATTATACAAGCATTACGTTATGAAATCGGTTCATTTAACAAAAAAAAATGGTATACATTTTTTTCGAATTCAACGGCTTAAGTAAAACTAACAAGTTCGTCTCCTTCAAATATTTCTGTAATAACTCTTGTCGAATTGCCTTTAGTAGTATAATGAAACATCGGGATATAGTTCAAATAAATTCTAAATAAGTTAATTAATATATCCCGCGTTTTAAACTGTTCAAAGAGTTATTCAATATTGGGTATTATATATTATATGACTTTGCAATATATTATATTTACTTCTACTCAATGCACTGAACAGAACTGAGCGTGGCGCACAAGCAGCTGGAGGCGATGTCTATGACATCATCGGGTTGCAGCACACCCACCGGCCGCAAAATGCGGGAACCAGGCCAAAGAAACCTCCAGAACTCCACTTTCTCCATAAGTAGTAAGTCGTTATTGCATATTGATGTACAGCTCAGTGTACTTACTCTAAATATACAATGGAATGTCCCATGCCCCAAATAAGGCAAATGGTGCCATATTTGGGGATATGGGCAATGTTTACTAGATTTCACAGATCGATTTTTATAGGCATTTGTCCGAAGCCTACGCGACCGGTGACAACCATAAGTACAATCACTTTTAACGGTTTAAAATACATACTAAAACATTATCTTTATTTTTGTCTTAAAGCGACGTTTCAGATGTGTTTTCAGCAGCTGTAGTCACATCGATCAAAATATTTCGTGTTACATGATCGTTTTGAAAATTACCTTTTTCTTTGACTTTTAAATCACTTTTATATATATTTGTACACTTTACAATACGTAGTTCTCTTCTGCGTGTCATTGGCGAATTGTTGTTCCCCTCCCTTTATATTCTCCCTTTATTTTACTATTTTTTTGAGCTTGATTGTGTTGGTACGCAAGATGTAGTCAATAGAAGAACTTTTTAACATCGATAAAAGAATATTTAAAATGTTGTAATTGACTACCGACCGTTTACGACAACTTCCGCCACACAGTTCGACATTTGATATATTTTGTCATAAGTTTACCTAGTCTGTGATAATTAAAGAACACTAACAATTGTATATAATTAATTAAACATATTTGAATTCTCAGAGGAAATGGAAGGCGTCGATACGAAGACATCGGTGCGCGTCCGAAACCCACCGGGCGGAAAGTCGTCGGGACTCTGGTAAAAACCGGCTGTTGCTCGCTATTACCGATGATAACCGGTTAAAACCGGTTCGGACGCTTCGCGGGACGACGCTTTTGCTTGTGAAAACATAACGTTGGGTCTCAAATGTTGTAACATTATTTATTTTCTTTAATATTACGTTCGTATTAAAGCCTAGTTGTAAAATATGTTAAGCTGCACTGCATTGCGCGTTCACATGCAATAGCTTCGGAAAAACATTTTTTTTTTCATATAAATAATAATTTTTAGCCACAGAACGCGAGGCTTACCATTCACATTTCACATAGAATGCATTTCTTTAGAACACGTTACGATTAGCTTTACCAGCTCTAAACCGCTCCATGTGGTCGTAGCTTATAATAATATTGTTTAAACTAGAATAAAGCAAGTCTTGAATTTCAGTCTGCCCGGCGGCCTATGTGGAGAATAAGTTTGGAGAAATCTATATTGATTCCAAATATCGGCTTTTATTGTCTTTGCTTTAACTTCAACTACAAACGCCATCTTGTGGATGATTTTTGTAATTCTATTAGTATGGAGGTTTGATATTCAATGTTATAATATGCTTATATGTATTTAAAGTATATTTTCACAAGCATAAGCAATGAATTGATTTAGTTGACGAAAAATCGTGATATACAATTATTTTGTACCACCACTGTTTATGTGAATTTTTCATATACAAACCTTATATGTTTAGCCTAACCCACAAGTTTCTTATACACATTTTGAGCACGGAACCCTTAAATAATTTTCAAAAAGCTAAAATTACTAGGAAAGTAAACAGTAACATTAATCGCCATGGTTTAAGGACTAAATACAAAATATTGTTTGTAACATAGACTGATTTTGTAGAAAAATGTGTTAACATAATTCGTATTATATGTTGTATTCATCATAGCTTAATATGTTGTATTGTGTATGTTGTAACTTAACGATATCCAATTTATTAAATGCTCAACAAAATTGTACTGGACCTTAAATAATTAACTGTATAATTGCAAAAATTTAACGGTTTAAATAGTGAAATATATTGGTATATTTTCACTTCAAACCGTTATTTTTGAAGCTGATTTATAATGTACTTTGATGTGAAAATTAAAAGACTTTGTTGTTATCTGAAGTTGTTTTATTGAGCATTTAAATCAATTAAAGGAAATTTCTTTATTGCATTTAGACTGCAATTATTATTATATCGGTTGAATCTTTGTATCAAAAGAGTTTGTACTTTTTATACTAAACATATTAGCTTTCAATATATTTAAACATTTTGCTTAAATATAATTTGAACTCTATCCTACTGTTGCCTATATTTAGCTAATTAAACGGTTTTATTATTGAATCTTACATTACTGTAATCTTGCTTAGTTTCATATAACACAAATCCTTATATGTTACTAGTACTATGACCAAAGTAGGACATACTATGTTTTAAGATAGGAATAAGAATTGTTTTGTTTTGTGATCCTTTAAAACTTTCAATGACAATTTCAATTCATCTATATTTAAAGGCGTTTAAGTTTCACTTAATCGCCGTTAGATGGCTTTGTATTCAATATGTATTATGACTCAAGTTGTAACATCGACCGATAGATGGCGTTGTTCTCAACCCACTATACCATGACTTAAAATAGACTTTTAGGCAAAATTAAGTTGATTTTAGTACAAACTATAACACTGTACCACCCCTTTAACTAGTCTCTTTGATGTCCTTACATTTTTATAATAGCGTATACAAATTTTTCTAATTGTCTGTTCTTTATTATGCATTGTGGAAATAAACAATGTACTCGTAGCCTTTTATTTATTTTTTCTTTAAAATGAGATTAAATCCACTCTTAGAGCAAATTGGCTCGTATTATATTTTTCTATTATATATGAAAATATAATACGGACCTCTAATAAGCACTTACAAATAAAATTAGCACTTGAATTAAGTTTGTAAAGATAAATCCTAAAACATCTGCAAATACCAGTCAAAGTCATTTTAGTAGAAAAGATGAGTTTGTTATTTTTTAAGCAATATACATAATTTTAAACAAAGAAATGATTTACCTTAACAAAACAAAATAATAAGTAATACACTGAATACAGTTTTATATTGTTTATTAAAATAATATTCGTTCAACTGAACACAAGACATAGGTCCAGAGCTAATAATTGAGTTTGCTAATTTGACAGTTCTTCCCTACAAAAAATAATAATCCTCGGCTCGACGCCGTCTGTCTTTACCATCTTAACAATAAAAACAACCTATAAAATCTATCAACATAAAGGGCTTTAAGAGGTATCGGGAGAAGATCCCACAATTATGTTCAATTTGGCACAGATTATATAAATTCACTGTCCATTTAGTTGTCTTATGTTTTGGCACACTCCGCACCACGTTAAAACGAAAATAAATTCCTTCTTGAACATAAAATTTTATAAATTTTCATTTAAAAAAAAAACTTAAAACGTACTTTTACGAAAAAAGCTACATTACATTAAAATATACAGTACCCATAATAATTCCAGTATTGCACAACATGATATTCATGCAAAATCATTCTGAACATTGTATCGTCGATATTCTATAGTGGAATTCGTCATTGAATAAATGTATCTCGTATAGTCTATGGTAAATTTTCTAATCGAATGTACGCGTCCCGCTCTAATCTGTTCGACTTCGCCGTCAACAACGTTAAAATTCTTAATTAATAATAACAATAAAAAAATTAATTAACAAAAATTCGCTGGACTTAACGAACATGCGTGGGCACAATTTCCTCGTATCAGTAGTAAATGCAGTTTCACCGAAGTCTAATTCAATTACAAATTTATTTACATGCGTCTTTAACGTAAGTTATACACAGGATATGTAGGTGACGTATTGAGTAGGTATTCAACTAATATTTTTTAATTTCCTTTGTTTACATAGCGATAGTAATATGAATAATATAAGTAGAATAGTACACTTATCTCTAATATGACACAGTTAATTATCCTAAACTTTATACAGTAACGCCCCGTTACACATATACAATTCTGTGACGAACGCTCTTACATCCAACCGTTAGGATATTAATAAAATTTTAATTACGAAACTCATAATTACTGGAGTCGTAAATTGGAAAAAAATAATTAAAATCGTGTATTAAATTGAGGTTTGCGAAAGAGCGTTACGTACAAAATATCACGAACCACACATACAACGTGTCTAATCTAGCCTAAGACAGTCTAACCATTCCGCACAACGGAAAAAACAGGCGCCCTCCGCGTTGCCTTAAAATATCTTTATACAATGCACGCGAAGGACAAACTAAACATATTCTAGAACTATATGGAACCTTCTGGTGCAGGCCGTTGGGGTTGGCTTTTTAATCTGTGAGAGAGCAAAATGGCGGGAAACGCCAACTGTCCACAGATAATGTGTCATAACGGTAAACAAGTCTACTCCTTAAAAAATAAAATAAGAAATCTACCTACAAAAAAAGCATTTCACTTATATATCCAATGAAAACAATAGTTATGTAAATGCCAATTTTGACCTAACAAAAACTTTGTAAAGCGAGTCTAAGAAACTACAATAGCACAGTAAACATAGAAGAAACATCCACATCGGTAACAAAACTAATAAAGTTAACACATTGTCTATGAACAGCAAATAACGATCCGACTTGTGACGATTTTTCAATATTTAGACATTAATCTGTCCACATTGAAAAATCGGCACGATTTGTGCGAAAATTTCACCTTTAGAGTTTCAAAGATAGATCCGTACTTATGAGTCCAAATTTTTTCGGCGAATTATCGCCAATGTCAAACGGATAATGGCACGAAGAGGCGTGACTAGTCAATGACACCTTAGATTTAGGTTGCCAACCGAGAAAAAAAAATTTAAAGAAGAGAAATCTTTTTTTTTTTAATAAAAGCGGTTTACATCCTAACCTCAAATGTTAAAGTAGAAACATCTATAACTCAGCAACCTTATTTGGACTCTAAAAGTTTGGAAAGGTAAAGAAAATTACGTCACAAGTGCTTACAAACCTGAGATCAGTAGAAATGACTGTTATCGGGACTAAATATGGTAAGATTGTTCAGATAAACTTTACAATTTCAAATATAAGATTATTAATAATGTACATATTTTGCTTACAGAACGGAATGCCCTTCAGAAATACCACACATCCGGTAGGGTTGTCAGTTAGGCCTGTAGCTTACAAATCTTTACTGTGTTTAACCAAGAAATTTGCGTATCGATTTACAAGCTGAAGTGAAAAATTAAAATAAGTGCACACATATGGGTATTTCTAGAGACCATTGAACCGTTTAGATTAGCACCCGATTATAACCTTTGTATACCACTGAAAGCAGTTCTTAGTTTTCTTGGTACTTTTATCACAACCAACACGACCTAGTTCCAGACCGAACTAAAAGATGGCGTTGAACACAACACTTCACGACTGATCACAGTAACATCAAATCCGAACGTAACTTCGTGTACTCAGCTATAACTTTGATACGGTGTTTACAAGAGCAGTTTTATATATATCATCCACGCAGCGTGAGTGTCATTCTGTATGTAATAGATATTTATCCTCATGTAAAATTAAGTTAGATATCTAGTAAACACGACGCGGTGACTCCAGTTACGTGAACAACAGGTGCACACGACTCAAAGTTATCACAGAGTATACAAGGAAAATCTCAGTCGTTTAACAATAGTCTATGCCGGTCCGCGGTCTGTCGCGTTTGCGCGTCGGCAACCGATTGTCCACTATGACACAGATATCACCTCGTGACCCGGCCTCGCTTGCGCCGCCCGCGGCCACGTCTGAGAGGTGAGCTGGTTAACGGAGAGGGGATTGTTCGCATCCCGCGGGTTCGTCCCCACGGGATTCCTGGCTGGCGGTGGGGGGTCTGACGCCGGCGACGCGAGAGACGATAACGCACTCAACCCCCCCGGACTGGACGCTGAATTGAGTGGAGTATCCGCCTCGTCACTAGACGCGTCAGACAGTTCCTCCAGTTTCACATCCTCTTCAGAACATGGTGATTGCGGGGTCTGCATGGGCATTGGGACCATCCCCCCGGCTGCCGCGAGAGCTTCCATGTACCGCACGCACTTTTTCTTCCGCCTGAAACGTTGTTATGCTATGTTTAGTGGGAATAAATAACCTCACTTAAGTTAAATTAAAAATCGATTACAATTGAAAAAAAATTCGATACCGACAACCGGAATCCACAGCCTTCCGTGCTGTTGTTCTAACCATCGCGTCACGGTAGCTCAATTCGTTAGGTAGCACAGAATGCTGTGGACGCCAGTTCAAATCCTGCCCCCGTCTTATTGTTTTTCAATATATCGATTTTTAATTCATATAGTGCCTTCATGTGCGACAACATGTGTAAAATATTAAAGTTTTAATTTCGCTTAAGTTTCCTTTCTTGCCTTATCGATGTAGAAAAATAATGTTACCAATATTGGTATCTCGTGTTATATTATTTGGTGGTATTTTCTTTATTTGATATGTAGATATAATTTTGGGATAGTTTAATGAAGCAAATAGATCATACGTCGTAAAGAAGTAAAAAAAGACATCGATTAGACAAGTAATAAGGATTACAATGATACACATTCACTAAGAATTATTTTATAAAATTTATCGGATAATAAAAGCAATAACATTACAAGAAACAAAACCATATATCGGTAAAATGAAAATAAACTTTTGAATGGCAATTACTTGCGCAAAGAATGCCTACAACAACAGCAAACGGATTTGTTAACTTAAAAATCATGCTAAAGAAATTGTTAAAACACACGAGAACTAAATGACGCTCATGCCGCATTAGATAAAACAAAAAGACATCGAAACTACAAAACACAACGTCGACACATTCAATAATCACTACACTCGAAAAAAAAAAGCAAAAAAAAAATTACATTCAGTTAAAATCTTAACGACGAATAAATATCTTCAATTCTTACAAATGTTTCTTAAAAAAGGTTATAAATGTGAAGTTACCTCCATATCAATAATCTAGGAATCGAGAAAATACAAAAAGACTAAAAATCCATGCCACAGAAGCAATGTCCAAAATCTCGCGAACTACGAACTGACCGTGTGTCCAGCGGCGGTGGTTGGCCGGCACTAGAGGTTTACATACGTCGGTTCCTGTGGGGGGCTCCCGACCAGGCTGGCAGGGGGGAGGGGGGTAGCCGGCTCTGGTCGGAGGAGCCCTAGCCCACCAGACACCATTACGCTACTTGACTCGGGACTATTAGAAATTAAGAGAGAAAGTGCGAGAAAAGGAGAAAAGGTATTGGTAAAAGGGGGATAGAAAATTAATTAAACAAAATAAAGTGTTGTATTAATAAAGCAAGAATAAGATCGAATGAGACGAAATTGTAAAGGAAGAAGATTAAGAAGAGTAAGACGAGAGTCAAGTGGCGTTAGGTAAATGTAAAATAATCGTTAAGAATGTAAAAACGTCACCAATAGTGCCAGCGGAATCCAGCATCGATCCGTGAGAAGCGGCAATCATGAGTGGAAAAAACATTTCGATAAGTAACAGTTTCGGTAACACTTAACTTATTGCTACATAGTTTTCGATGACCCTTAAAGCGAGCGATATTCAGAAAATGTGTCAAGATTTTTTTGAAAGCTTTTGTTGACAAATGATTGCCCCATCTCTGATCCGGTGCACGGCCATCGCCTCTAAGACCTACAACTACGTCGTCCACACTTTGTCTACTTTCAAAAAAATCTATTTCGGTTCATTCTACTTTCGACTTTATTTCTTTGTGAAAAGACACATTTTCTGAATCATTGACGGCTGCGCTTTAACTCAGCTCCCTCCACTGCTAAGAGCGGGGCGTAACGAGATGTTTAACATAACAAATATCTCTTGGAATAAATACGTCATCTACTAAATATTCAGTCGCATTCAGTCGATATCGTTAAAAATAAATGTTACGACCGGGCTCGTGTCGGCCAAAAGGAGTTAGCCGGATAAAATAAACACAAACAAGCCAAGTCTTTCCACATAGAAACAATATAAATTGAAATAATAACCGAGAGACGCGGAGTATTGAAAATATTGCACGTTTTTGAAAGCAAATAAAAAGAAAATATCCAACTACCCACCTGCAAGGTTTGCACCATTGGTTCTGTTGATCGAGACCGTACCTCGCTCGACATTTTTTCAAATTGTTTCCTGCGAATATTGCAAAGATTATGTTAATATATGTTTGAGATTGTCTAAATGCCACACGGCACTAAAACTCACTAGCATATTAGGCAAATGAAAAATATCTGTGAGCAAATTAAAGGGACTGAATCACTGCTGTTACTTTAAAGATATGATTTTGCAAATGTACAAAAATTAAAGGCCAAGACGCCATCACGGCAAAAGTAAACATTGAAAATTATAATCTAAGCACCTTATAACGCTAAAATAACTAGAAAGCCACATGCACCAAACACCAGCATACAATCGTTAGTCTCATGCAAGGAGTGGAATGGAGAATTGAAATAAAAAGGAAAACGGAAAAAACATTGGTTTTAAAATAGCTCACTACTCGCATCGAAACAAAAACGCTAACTACTAATACTAATCGAAATAAAAAAATGACAAAAAAAGTTGACGCTCATAAGCAAATTGAAGCAGAATAGGTTCTCCGGAATCAAAATAAATGTATATTCTTTGGCCAATATCATTGTATAGAACACCGCAGACACAGAAGCGCATCGGCAGCTTTCGTTCGGGTCGGACCCGGCGCCCCTTGTACCACCGCTGATCGCCCGCGTGGCATAGCGGGACCTCCTCATGCATACGTACTCCACACTACTCCGTTGCATTCCCGAAATACTTCAAGAAGGCTGTCCCAGCCGTTACATTGAGCACATCTAAACTCCCAGAAGCGTTCGCTCAAGATCACATTGACTGTTGAATGAAGCATGCACGCTCCCCGAATCGTAGGCGCGGAGCAGGAAAGCCAAAAACCGGGACAACCTTCGACGGAGTGCCACTTACATCAGGGTAGTTCTCATAAAGTAGCATTGTAATTACAAAGGAACAAAATAAATAAATGCCATAAATATTAAATAAAAATGCTCATTAACTACAACCTGTACCCCTGCAACCATAGACATTCGGCAAAAGTTCTACATCGCTCCGTCGATTTGGAGCGAAGTTCAAAGCAATTGAACTCGCGTTGCGGCCGGGAATGGAGGGGAGAGAGGGGTGAGGGGAGGGGAGGGCAACCGACGTCTCTGGCTAATCCTTCATTAATTGACCTCATTACTGCGACAGAGCATCGACTCATCGCGTACGAGACGTCCGTTGCTGACCGTGTGAGGACGGCGGGGATCGGAACCGAGTCGCGTCGCATTATAACAACGTCATGGCCGACTGTCATTAAAGGATTTGGAGGAAAGGGGGAGGATGGCTGCGTTCGTTGAAAGGCAATACCTCCATCGGTTGTCTCCTGCTTTCGTTTCCTCTTCTTGCCCCTTTGCGTATTAGCCCTAGACGACCAATCGGGATAGAGCTGCATGTGCAGTTGGCGTTCACGCCGCGCCAGCTCGTAATACTTGGCTTGTTCCTCGCGGCCAAGGGCATGCCACTGTACGAACGCCGCAATATGGAAAGAAAAGAGAATTCACATCGACGGTGTTTCGCGACCGCGCCCTAAGCTGGTGCTAGAAAAACAGCCCGCAGAGAGCCCCGTTAATTTTGATCCTACGCCCCAGTAATGAGAATGGCCAATTGTTCCTCACAGAACCTATTCTGCGGTCGGTCGTCGCGCTTCGACACAGATCAAACCAATATAGTTTCCGATCGATCGGGGATTTAGGAGTACGAGTACACGATCACTCGACGACTACATTACACAGAACACGCAACAACTAGCGCGCGGGGCGGCGCGGGCGGCGCAGGGCGGCATTGCCCCACTGGTTCCTACTTGGCCCACCGCTCGGGGCCGCCCGACGTGGCCCCGCGCGTCCGTCTCGGTGAACAACGGTTCCGGCCGCTTTTCTAGCACATACACCACCGGCCGCCGTACTAACACATCAGAGTAACACCACACACACACTCACATACAGGACGGGTGACGGGTGAACGAGCCGGTTAGTTCGTGTTAGGAGCCCTGGACGGCAAGCGACCCCGGGGCGTGTTAGTGGGAGAGCGCGCGGCTCTGGAGGGGAGGGGTAAAGCGAGTGTACACAAGCGTCGACGTGACAACCCATCCCGCGTGTCGGGTCCACGACCAAGGGTCCAATACCTCCCAGTTCGGCGGGACCGCGGTCCTTTTTCCGCTTTTTCTTTTTGGAACCGTAACCGTAGTTGTCCCTGGCGCTCCACCCGGGATACAGCTGCATATGGAGCTGTCTCTCTTGTCTCGCTTTCTCATAGTACTTTGCTTGCTCCTCGCGACTCAACGAGTGCCACTGCGTTCAACGTTATTCATAGTTAACCCGATCGATGTACGTCGATTGTCGACGGGCGATTTGTGGCATTGCGTGTCTTGTTAGGAATATGATTGGTTAGGCCAAGATAGAATCAGCTTCTTTGACGAAATAAGCTCAAAAACAGTCGAATTGCAAAACTGTCGATATTAATTTTGTTAAAATGCTAAGAACATAATTTGCATTGAGCTAAAAGTATCATGGTCTATTTGCTGAGTCTATCTTGGGTATGTTTCTTTTCTCGGAAGGGTAACGGCGTAGTTCCGAGAAGCCTGCTGTGGTAAGCCACAGTTTACATATTGCACAGTTGGGATTCTTAAAACGCGCCAAATTTTATAATGGTTTTTAACATTACTAATCACATATTATGGTGATGAAAGTATTACAAATGTTATTTGATAACGGTTTTGCCTGCGTTGATTTTTGTTCACACAATTTAAAGGTCTGTCGGTCACATTTAATATTTTACTTGATCGAGCCGCTAACGTAATCGATTGTCCCAACTGCCAAAGTAATTAATCTGTGCGAAGCTTACTTATTATTCAATACATCTATAGTAGATCGCAGATATGACCACGGCGGCCGAGTCATTGTCTTGCGAAGCGAGTCCGCTGTTTACACGATCAGTGTCGGCTGATTAGGGCTGCCAACAATTTTCGAATAGGGCTGTCAATGTTGTTTTTTAATGACTTCGAAAACTTCATTTTCTCGTTTAAATAACTTCTTTGTGGTAATTGCTATATTTCCTCAACAAGTATTTTTACTAAAGTATATAACGTTACAGTAAGTAAAGTATTTTTTACAAATATTTTGTTAGACCGAGTTGACAACCCTAACGTCTAATCACGAACCATATTCCTAACAAGATTCACAATGAACACATCATCAAAACAGAATCATTCTCTGTAACGCTTCTAGGAACATCACAATGTGTGTACAGGTGTGAAAAATAATCAAATGCAAATTCAAAGGAATAATTTTTAACAGAAAGGCTTAGACTAGCGGATTGTTGATTTTTGCCACGAAATATATCGTATGTTTGATGTGAATTTATAGTACGTAGTGATCTTTAAACTTAAGTGCTTTATGGACAAACGCAATCAAAGTGATCCGTCCATTTCAGGCCACAAACGGACACTGGTATTGAAATTGCTTTTTGAAAATTTCGCGACAGAAATATGCCTATATATTTTCAAATTGTATTTTAAATGGAATTTATAAATCTCACGAGCACTTTTGCTCTGACGTTCAATAGTGGGTACACTTGCACTACAGTGTAAAACTACCTCCATAAAGTTGGAAATGTACCAATTTGTCTTAACTTTTGTTCAGTAGCAAAAACCATCAATCAACATAACATACAAAACTTACCCGTCTACCCAGGATCTGGTTGATGGCTGCTGATTCCTTCAGCGTGCACTCAGCGACTACCTTGGCTCTCATCTCCTTCATGTACAGCATAAAGGCGTTCAGGGGTTTCTTTATGTGTGGCTTTTTATTCTGCTCCTTACTGTTATTGCTACTGGGCTCTGACGTTTTGTCACTTGAACTACTGCTCTTTTCCTGTGACCTGGAACGTTAGGGCAAGGATATATTAGACATATTGAAAGTCATAAGTTCACAGTTTATTATTGAACCAATTGGAACAGATTCTAAACAAGCTAATCTATACTAATATATAAAGCTGAAGAGTTTGTTTGTTTGTTTGAACGCGCTAATCTCACTACTGGTTCGAATTGGAAATTTTTCTTTTGGTGTTGGTTAGAACACTTATCGATAAAGGCTATAAAACATCGCGCTTTGATTAATAGAAGCGAAGATACAGCGGGAAATGTGTAGACAAAACGGGGGAATTATTTCATCTCTGTTTTCAGATGCGTACGCTGCGAAAACAGTTCAAGATACCCAAAAAATATGTATGAAAGAATGATTTCTATTTAAATTATCCGAAAAAAAGTCTAGGGCGCTATATGTCTATCTTTTAAGATTAACTTGCAAGAACGACGGGAAGGGACGCTGTCAACGTCGTGGCTAACAGCTTAAGTTTATAAAGATGACGGGGTTTGCAAAAACTAATTTGGATGCCCAAAATAACGGCTCAGCAGTTACATATACAGACAATCTTTTTTATGTATGCAAACTTCTAATTATATTTAAACAAACATTAGTATGTAAAATTAAACTAACTGGTACAGCTTCTAAGCTGGACTTCCAGCTCACAAAGATACTGAACTTTTTTAAGTTACCTAATGTTTTTTTGAGTGGTTGTATTTTCTGTAAAGGATGTAGAGTTTGTTCTTGAAAAAATAGTTCTAATTCAGGATCTAAATAACACTATATATACCTACAACATTATAGAATTTTTAGTCATCGCCCATTTTTGATGGCTTAGACCTGATACGAACTCAACCCAAAAACCTTTTTTGTCACACATTTGATCGACGACAAACGGAAGTCGCATCAATTATCGAATAGATAAAACTGAAGCAGATCTATGTAATCTATAATCGAATGTCAAAACTCCCACATCGATGGTTAATCGATTAACATAACTCGTTAGGTGTTAACGACACACAGACGGACGACAAAGCATCGCGCGTCCGGTTAGAAATAGACGCACTTCCGGTGTATGTGTGTGTCTTTATATTGAATCTGACCAACGTCGACAATGCGTGTGATGTTTTCAACCCTGTTTAAGTTATTGAAACTTAATTAAATGACTTTACATAAAACTTTTTTAATGATAGTAGGAGAGACAAGCACAGGATTAACTTGATGGGAGGTGTTGGATACTTTAAACGGTTTGAAACGCGAAAGGTATAAATTAGTTTCGAAAGCTCTACCCCGTGACCATGCCTGCTGCAAAGAATGCAAAATGAGCGGCCGTAGTTAAAATAATTTATTAATAAGTTTTACTAATACATTTCGCGTTTTAAACCGTCGAAAGTGGCATCCACAGCATACCGTGCGGTTACTCTAACTAGGAATCAGTAGTTCAATTGGTTAGAGCAGCAACACGGAACGCTGTGTATGCCGGTTCAAACCCCGCCTATGTCGTAGATTTTTTCACATCTCTATACCTTTGTTATAGTAACGATTTTGTTATATTGTATGTGTTTTACGATAGTAAACAGTCACTTAAGCAAGAAGTAGACATAAGTCTGATCACTAAAGACTTTAAAAAGTGATCAGAACAACTATGATGAACGCAGGTGATTAAAACGGTCTTCATCTAAGAAGTGGAACTTTAGCGGTTCGTTTTTACTCAATAGAAAAAGAGCTAAAATTGCTAAATTAATCACGAGTGAAACAAGAATCCAGAATAACGGCTTCCGGTCTCGGTGTTCTTGCAAGAATAGAATCGATAAAATATATTATTGTCACTGGACTTAGGCGGGTTACACGCGAAGTTGGGGCCACTGAAAATCAGTGTTGCAACGTAAGTGTGTTTGCATTATGCTGAGTGGCTCTTTTTAGAAGTTGCCATAGTCATTTTTTTTGTTAAGGCTTCTATATTTTGTATAATATATATAAGTTTACTTATTAAGTTAATATTAGTTCATAGTTTTTATTTTTGTGAGCATCTTTTAAATAAATGATTTTTATTATTATTATTAAGATAAAACACAAAATTTAAGTGTGAATTCCATACTTTTATTTCTGCAATAAACATATTAACCGAATGAATTCTATCTGTAGTTTTAAATAAAACCTTAAACGGTTTAAAATGCGATATATATTGGTTTAACTTATTTAACAGTTTTATTCAAATGAAGACATTCAATTTAGCGAAGATCAATTTTACTTAAAAAGCTTTTTGTATTTTTGAAATAAAACACTTTAACGGATTAAATCCGAGCCCCTTAAGCCGTAGTTAAAATAATTTCTAAATAATTTTAACTAACATATATTTTATTTATAACACATATATAAACATAGAACGTTTTAAACCGTTATATGTTTTATTCATATATGTACTACACTACTAACTACAGACAGCTTTCTGTATCTACTCAGTAAAGTTCGATTGAATAATTGAGCCGTGTGTAGAAACCCTAAGAATTACTGGAACAAGTCAAATATAGACTTTTCATTAAATTACTTCTGAGAATACACAAAATGAATGCGCGACTTCCTTTATGAAGAAGCTTAAAAATGAGTGAAAGTTAGAAAAAGAAGTAAGACACGCTGGACACTGAAATAGCTTAGAGATAAATTTATAGCTTCCGTTTATATTGATTTGGCTACAATGGTCGTTTTTCATCACGACGAAGTGATTTCTGCACGCATGCGTTGCTCACACGCAAATGAACAACGCGAAAAAGGATGATAGAAAAAAAGTACAATTCCGTTGACAAGTGTTCATATATTTATATTAAACTTTTTAGGATTACTGTGTTATTGTCGTAACCGTATATACAACATAAACTGTATTGATTGTATATTGTGACGTCGATCAATATAATAAAGAAAAAATGCTTGGGTATGAAGGAAACCGCTGTAACAAGAAAAAAATATGTAGTTTAACGATAAGATTTGAGAACTGGTAGGAGATGTACATTTTAGAGTAGATAGTAGTGTAGTGAGTAGAGTAAGTGATTGGTGTGACGTGTAGGTACCTACCTAGTTGAGATTTTTGACTTTGTGTTTTAACATTTTTGTCTAAAAATTAGTTTTATATTTAATACGTTAGACTACAATGTAATAATATCGATATTGCAAAGGTAAGTTACATTGTTTAATAACTTAAAAACAATTAATTTCTAAGAATCAAAAATCATCAATCGCTTATCGCAACGTTAAAAATGTAATCTTGGTCGGTCAGGTGTTATCGGTGTGATCTCGCGACTGTACCCAGCCCGTTAGTCTGCGTCTCATATATCATCTTAATTAAATTTCTCCGCCAGCAGCTTATTTACATGATTGTACCTGGGCCTTTTATGTATATGCTAGGGGCGAAGTTATAGCGATTTCACAAGCAGAGCGTCTACAATGAAAATATTGTTTATTTATGGTCTCTAAATCAGGCACAACTAAATCAGTTACTAACTTTACGTCTTTCAGTTACTAGTACTTTCGGTAGTTACGTGAATAATACACATTTAACGGTTTAAAACGCGAAATGCTATATTCAAACGTTTCGAATGCTTTGGAACAGCCGTACCCGGTTTAAAACACGAAACGTCACGCCGTAGTGGAAATCATTCGTAAATAAGCTAAACTAATACTTTTCGAGTTTTAAGCCGTTAGGAGTGTTTTATTTAATTACTATTAAGTACTTTAGTGTCCAAATTTCAATTAAAAACTACGACGCAAGCGGAACTTCACTCATGACTTAGTCAAAATAATGATTATTTGTTACTCCCTTGCATAATGATGATCTTGTAATTCTCAATATGTATTAATCGTTAAGAGAAATAGGATTATGTCTTCTTTGTATGTTTTCTAGATCTATAACAGTTACTGAAACTTGACGCGTGATAAGCTGTAAAATCGCTTACACTGCCACCGCACATAACCACCGGCGGTGATTATGTATGTTTGAGCGACACAGCTTGTATTAAACGAGTGACGCGTTGAAAGGTGTAAGATTACGAATAACATGCCATCGGCTCAAATGAAATATTCGTTTTGATTATTTCTTTGTTGCTTTGACAAACAAGAACTTCTGTGGTACCTACAACGTGATATTTAATTAAAAACACGGTAGACGAAGAATACCACCATTCACATAATAATTACAAATCATTTAAATAAAACACTTTAACGGTTTAAAACGCGATATATTAGTTAAACTTATTTGGAAATGATTTTTAACTTCGGCCCGACGTTTCGGATGCTTTTTTTTTTTTTTGCAGCAGCCGTGGTCATGGGAAGTCTCCTCGAAACCCCAAGTAATTTTAATATAATATATCGCGTTTAAAATAAAGTGTTTTATTTAATTGTATTTAAGTTATTGTTAAATTACATTTGAGACATGGCGAACACAATTATATCTTTCACTGATCGTTTTTATGTATAAGAGTACTACATTTCTGTACCCTTATAGTATTATACACCCTGAAATTATTTGTTGTTTTTTCCAGGATTCAAACTTAGGACCTCTCATGCGTAACGCTGTGTTACCAACACGTTTATATAAACATTAAATGAATTATATTTAATATGTTGTATCTTTACTAAACATGATCTTCGACGTAATTTCTACTTAATTATACCTGTTATATATGATACCTACTTAATTGTGAGAACATTCGCACGATTAGATCCTGCGCAAGACTTTCTTTGATAACATTTAATTTATCGCATTAAAAAATCATAATTCAAGACTGAAAAACATATAGCTGTTAACGAGGAAGGGAGTTCAACGTGTTTCAGAAAAATAATAAATGATTAACCCGACCCATTGATACATTCCTATTAGACTAACATGCAAAAAAAAGTTAAAAAAATATCAATAGTTTGAAATATTAAAAATATTGATATTTTGTTAGACCCGATGGGGATCGAGTCCGCGACCCGCTGATTATTAGCCATAACGTTGCTATAATAGACCAACAGCCAATCAAAGCGAGAATTAGATTTTTTTTCTTTTATTCAAAATATTTCAAATATTGGAATATTTTTATATTATACAGTGTGGTGTGAATTTATCGCGATATCTATGAATTTCATTACAATTTTTGTTCTGTCAAATATCTATTATTTCATCCATTAGGCTTTGAGCCGTTCTAAGGGGTGATTTTATCGGCCGCTATTACATGTCGACCCTGCAGATATCTTGATGAGATAAGCCGACAGATGCTAGGGCGAATGCTTTACATGTTTATCGCTTTTACACTTTAATGAAACAATTATAACGGGTTCAAAACGCGAAATTTTTATTTTATAGGGCATCTCCAAATTGTGTCACTGTTAACACTAACCAAGTGACTAAATCTTTTTTATTTTTAATTAATTTATTTATTTATTGTTTTCATATTATAGTTATGTTAAATCAAATTAATTATGTGAAATATATTAATACTCAAATCATTTTAACATACTAAATTATAACACCGTTAAAATCATTTAAAGATTACTTTGGTTTTTACTCTTATGAACATTAGAATAAAAGACACAAACAAACTGTTAAAAACGCTATAGATATTAGTACTTACTTACAAATATCCCCGTGACCACGGCTTCTGCTAAGCATCCGAAACGTTGGGGCGTAAAATAAATTATATAAAAGTTTACTAAAATATTTTGCGTTTTAAACCGTTAAGTGTTTGACTTAAATGTGTACTACTCGCGTAAACTATAGACAGTACTTAAGTTACATATTATATTTCGCGTTTTAGCCGTTAAAAGTGCTTTACTTAAATATTATGTACCTACTACTTGCATAAACTATAGAGGATACTTAAGTTAACTAATACATTTTTCGTTTTAAACATTTAGAAGTTTTTTACTAAAATGCGTACTACTTATTAACTACTGTACTCAATTGATAAGTTAAATTCGTTAAAATTAAATTTAAAAACTTTTTAAATTATATATCTTATTAATAAATGTGAAAAATATTATGTTTTCAAAACGTTAAATTTCGTTTTCAATTCGTCAAAAAATACTCTCTATCTCCACCCTTTTAACTTTATCTCGAAACGATCACCCCTCTATCCTTAACAATGGCAAAAAGCTAATAATTTGTAATCCACACGACAAACGACCAATTCGCTCTTTATTATTTCGGACGCGTGACGCTTATAATATAAAACTAGGAGGCGTGCCCGGTTTTGCTTGCGTACAATTGATTTTATCGATCACAATGATTATTGACTTTGAACAGAAATCATGCATTGTTAGGTGAAAAAAATCTAGTTTAAAGTTTTAAAAAAATCTTATTAGTCTTCGTATTATATTAGGAATTGATTCTCGACATGGGCAGGACTTGAACTTCCATCCAAAGCGTTCCGTGCTTCTTCATGAAAATTGAAAATATATTTCTGAGTTTAGACATTAAAAGGGAAGGAAATGGAACGTGGCAAAAGAGTATCTTCGCTGCGAACCGGTAACATCCAAAAATACGTATGGACGTGATCTGTTGAGAACGATTTTAATATTAAATTGCAAGAACGACGGGGCGGACGACGTCGTGGCTAAAACTCATAAAAATGAATTTTATGCCTAAAATTTATTGTTACGGACAAAACCGCGGCCGAAGCTATTCAGGATAATAATATTTTAACAACGTATTAAGGTTATTTCACGAGACGATAGAAAATAAAGGAACTGGTTACAATCAATTTTCTTCGTATAGCTTAAAACACGATTTGAAATCCAAGCAACGTACAGACATTGCAATATTATGAACACGTGACCTGGGTCGCCCGAGATATATAAAATTGCTGCACACGTTCTCAATTTATTGCTCTATTAGCTAATCTTATAGTTCTAAGAACTGGACGTCTCTTCATACTTATTGGTTGCGCTTTGAAGACATTGAAATAAAATAAATCTTACTGATATCAAAGCTGACGAGTTTAGTTTGAACGCGCTAATCTCAGGAACTATTGGTTCGAATTGAATTTTTTTTTGTGTTGTTAGATGTAAAGGAGGCTTTAAAACATTACAAACAAATTTTGATGCCCAGAATAACTTTTCAACGCGGACGAACTAGCGAGCACAGCTAATCATAACCTAAATCGACGGTTTTAAACGCGCGTTATATTTAAGTAAATTATAATAAAAACAAATAACGACCTGAAGTTTAGGGTGCTACCCAGCAGCTATGGTTAGTTGCTGTGAATATCTTATTTCTTACCTCGAATGATGCGTAAATAGGTCAGTCTTAGAGGGAGGTGGAGGCACTAACGCGGGCCCCAAACCGAGCCCTAGGCCTCCGCCGAGTGTCGGCGAAAACCGGTACAATTCACTGGAATAATACATGCTATGAATCACTTACTATCTATTCAAAATTACATTTATTGACATAATATATGAAATATTTCTGAAACACAAAGAGATAATACCGCATGAATCCTGTGAAATCTCGTTTCGCCTTATGGGACATAGGGCGAACACATTATTGTGGCCGTCCCGTAGTTGTGACTTTTGTGCAATGAGATTCAAACCCATTGGTGAGGACATTGCTGAGCCAAACATCTAATAATATTCTACGGAGGCGGTCAAGAAGAACTAGTAATTTTAAAATGTATGTACAAACAAAAAAATTTAATCTGTTGACAGAGGAAATCAACAGATAAAAGTAATAAATTAAAAATTAAGATATAATGAACATAATGTCAAATTATATAAGTTGTTAAATTAAAAAGTCGTGTAAATTTCGTAATTAGCTGGATATCGAATAGATAAAATCGATTCCAAGAAATACTTGTATAAATGATGAATGAGAACGAAATAAAAATTATCGGAATGGCAATAATGAGTAGTGACGGTAGGTAGAAAAAATTCTTTGATAAAAGTACTTCGAGTTGTATGCACCAAATACAAAAACGGGTTCTTATTAGTTTTAATACAGTTTAGAGATGAGGTGGAAACCGGGTTCCGAACCCGCTACATTCAATATATCTTATGAAGGTTTAAAGAGCATAAGACAATATCGGGGCTGACTCTGGTTGGACCGTCAAAGATGGATGAGGATAGTCCTCAGATCAAGTTGGAACATACATATGGCAATAAAGGTTTTGAATTTGAAATTTGAAAAAAAAAATTGCCTATGGCCTCAAGTTCAGAAAAAGATATACCTTGATAGACTAGAGGTGCTTATCGGCAAAGAGGTAGGGTAAGGACTCCGGAACCCACTTGCTGCCGAAGATATGGGGTACATGCTTGGAGTATGCCTGGAAACATAACACTATAATAAAAACACGTGGTATTCCACCTTACAACCATAATCCAAAAAGAATCTCTTCAGAATAAAACACTTCAAACTGTTTAAAAGGCGAAATGCATTAATTGTTAATTTATGTACAATATTAAACGTGGTCCCACTGTGACCACAGCTGCTGAAAGGCATCCGAAACGTCGAGACGTAGTTAAAATATATTGAGAACAATTAAACGAATATATTTCGCGTTTTCAACAGTTAAGTGTTTTATTTAAATGTGACCTACTCGCGTAAACTACACAGTATACAGATAATAAATATACATAGAATGACGATAGTGTTTTTTTCTTTGATATTTAGTTTGATTCTTATATCAATACAACTATATATGTCATAGAGTTTCAGAAATCATAATTCTGACAGATAGAATGTTGAGAAAGATTTCGTTATCTTACCACGAAGCAGCAACCTGTGACATTTCCGGGCTAAGCATGGGGTAGGGGTATGTACCCCCCGGAAAGGGGTACATTGGCGTTCGCGCTAATCCCGCTGCTGGAAAAAACAATGATATTAAAAAAATGACAAATACAAAATGATCTCGTATGAAAATATAAAAAATCCTTTGATGACGATTTCCGCCTTACTTAACATCGATAGAAATCTTCTAATACTTACCCAGTTTAGAATCTATTTGATAAGGGGGTGGAATGCCCATATGCGCTGGGGGTGGCTGACCCAACTCCCCGCCCGGACAAAATAAAGAAAGACTGCTCCCCGCCGGTAAGCCCATTTTGCTGGCCTGAAACAAAAACAAACACATGTTAATATACAGATTAGCAGACAGACAAACTATTTAAAAACTGTGTAACATAAAGGAATAAATAATACGTCTATTTTAATTTATTTGACCTTGGCAAACTTGCGTACAAAAATACGTGGTCTCCCGTGCGAAGCCATTTTTTATTTTTTTAACTGACAGACGTCAACAATCGGCTTTCTTTAACGTGTTCCATAAACAAAAAGTTACTTTTGAAAATTGCTAGTTATTTAAAACCTTTTTGTACTATAGAAATCGCCTTAGGTTAACTTTAAAACATTTTACGGCGTTAGGTATGTCATCAAGGTGCTTCACGCAAAAAAAAAAGTTTTTATCACGAAACCGTGAACTCCAATTAATATTGTACCTCAATTTTACTATAAGACCGCGTAATATCAAAAGACTAAAGTTCAATATAAACCGAGCTTAAACACGACGAGGTATAATAGTGAATAGGGAACAAAACCGAATAGGGGGCATAGCAAGACGCGTCATTAGCAAGTAAATTGGCGCCCGGCGTATAAATTTCGTTCTACCCTCCAACGCCCAATTATGCAAAATGGCGCCCAACGAGCATCATCCAGACGCGTTGCAAGTACCTCACCTCTAATTAAACTGGGTCTTCTTTTCAGCACTTTATTATGCGAAATAAACGACAGTATCGCGGCTGACACTAAGGCTTAAATTAATTATGGTTCTCATTGGGTTCTGTATGCGTTTTGTTAAACTGTTTCGAATGGAAACTGATTATAATTGCGCGATAGAATTCTCGAGTGAGAGGGTGAGAAACGACACTCGTAATATCCATCACTCAAACACATACTTATAAGAACCGCAATTGAAAAATTTAATTAGACGCAGAAAACGCTCGCTCCATTCAAACATTCCTCTGTTTGCTATAAAAGATACGCCAAGATTCCTTCGTCATATAATACGATGTGTCAGTCTATGGTCTATTCATACTTAGTCATAAATAAATCATGTAAACAGGAATCGTGAACCCGTTTTAAATAAAATTGTATTGGATTAAAATCTCCGCATTGACGATTCCTTTAGCGTTCCTTCGCATTCGAGCAGGAACTGCTTATTAAGACAATAATTACCACGAACAAAGACTCCACTAATTAATAATAAAACACGCACAAACAAAGCCCTCCATTCACGCTCGGGACAGCGGATAAAAAAACGAAAAGAAAAATAACCGAAACGGTGGTCGAAAAGCCTCGACATGCGAGGACGAACAAAAAGAGCCCATAGACAATGATGACAGTCGAGACGCATAATGCGGGAGCAGAGCGCGTTCTTAATTTGAAAATATTTCCATAATAAGATTTGTCTATGGCGCGACCGTTAACAAAAGGCCGAGCTGCTTTGTTCAAATGACAGCGTTGCGATAATTAAATACAAAAACATTATACCACGCGATCGCTATAGCTACGATTTCGTAGTCTTATAAGTTGCCTAGTTATTAGCTAAACAACTTTACTCGTTAAAACTTGCGTTTTTGAAATTAGTAGGTAGCCTGGCGTCTTTTCAGTTCTCAGTGTGTATTGAGAAGGTCCCTAATGAAGGCCAGGTGGAGTGGCCGGCTATTGAAGGTACGTCGAGAGGGTAGTTATTGAAGGAATGAAAGCCGCGTGACGTCACCGCCACTCAAGCGACAAGCTCCAGTCGCTAATTGGAACTCGTGGCGATAGGACGCGAGAAATGTTACCTCAATTGACTAATACTTCAAATTTGAATAGGTTTGTTAACGACCGGCCGGTTGAATGTTACGAATGGAGTCGAGGGCTCGCTTACCGTTCGCTAACTAGGCACGTCATACGTACTTATTCTTATTGCCTATTTCCGAGTTTGAATTTCAAATTCTCAATAATCTTGGTAGCCGTCGATGTCACGAAATTTCCTTTCAAAATGGAATTTCACGAGAGCGCCGGTTAGAGGGGCCCACGCGAGCGTGCAGCGTACACCCCTTTAGTTCGCCAATGCGGACGAAGTAGGGCGTAATATCTTGAGAGTTCGCCCCCGGGGTAGTGGGCGTGGAAGTAGGATGCTGCGTTACCATGGCGACCATGTATAGGGGTGAGAGTTGAGACACGTGGCGGCGATGGTGTGGGTGTAGGGGCTTGTGTTAGTATGGGTTAGTCTAGCTGTCAGACGACCTTGGAAGTTTTGGTCTACTTGCACTTCCCTTTTTATTTTCCTCTGTGACTGAAGATCTGACCTTGAAAAACGTGTCAGTATAATTACGCCGTTAGACCTCTTCCGTTCACTTCGTTTAGAACGTCGTTTTAGAATTACGTCTTTACTGGCTGCTCACTTCAGTCTGGTATTATTACAAGGCATATTTGTAGACTATTGACATCATTATTGAGTCAAAAATGTATTAAAAACAGATAACAAAACATATTAACTTTTCAATACCATCTAATTCACGGTAAACCGGATGTCTGATTCGAAATTTTTAAATAAAAAAGCTGTTTTCAGCTATTTAGGGTAAACGCACAATTTCCGTATCATAACAATACATTTAAGTACACTTTAACGGTTTAAAACGCGATATATATTAGTTATTCTTATGTAATATTATTTTAACTGCTGCTCGACGTTTCGGATGCTTTGCAACAGCCATGGTGACGGGGAGACACAATATATTTTTGTAATTTATTTGTTAAACTTTTATAGGATATAAAATGTCTATGCCTTTAATATTATAATTAGCTTCATATTAGCTGATCAAGGAAAACTTTTATATTCGCTCTCGACATAATTAGTACTCACATGAATTTGCATGCTAAACTAGAAGGTACTCAGGGCATGTTCATAGGTTTATATATGATAAAATCCTTATTTATTGTATGAAAACAGGATTGCATTATATAAATAGTATATTTTAGATTAAGAAATTTGACTACACGGGCGGGAGTTGGACCGGCATCCACACCGTTCCGTGCTCTTACCAATTGAACTATGGTGTCCGGTAAGAGCACGTAAGATTGTCCATGCCAGTTCAAGTCTAGCCATTGTCCTTATTTTTTTTCAATTCAAGTAGATTTTAAATTTTAAAAATTCCATCGTGTAAAATGTTAGTTTTCAGCCCACGCTGTTAAACTTTTTTTATTTAAAAGTTCTACAGAACTAAGCAATAATTATTACAGACACGGCTTAAATAGTGCATAATAAGTGTTCAGTTCGAGCTTTTAAATAAAACACTTTAACGGTTTAAAACGCGATATATTAGTTAAACTTATTTGAAAATGATTTTTAACTTCGACCCGATGTTTCGGATGTTTTGCATCACGGGGAGGCGTAATCATTTTCAAATAAGTTTAACTAATATACAGCGTTTTAAACCGTTAAAGTGTTTTCTTTAAATGTGTACAACTCGCGTAAATTATAGACAGTATTTAAGTTCAAGCTTATAAATATGCCGATATTATATCAAATATAAAAACAATATCCAATCTCAATTTTTAACTTATATGATATATCACATTGGGATTTTAGACATATTTTTATACAGGGACAGACGAGGGCGCTTTAGGGCATTGAATATTCAAACTTAAGGGTACAAAAGGGTGGGGTTGGTGACCTTCTCCCGTAGGCCCTATAGGTACTTACAATAAAAGTGGAACGGAATTAATTTTAGGTTCGGTCAGCTGAATTTGAAATTACAGTGGGGAAATTGAAGTCGGAAAATTACTTTTTTGTTATATAAAATCAGACAAAAGGAAATATAAGAAACTAGACAAAGTACACAATTACTATTACAAATGTCTAAATATATAAGTGAATGATACTTATAGAACTTGATGATATGAACGTTTAAGCCCTATTATGATAACAAAGTGAGTTAACGTGTCTAAGTGGGGCATGGGGCACACACATTCTGAGTCTGTTTTACTAAACATTTTTATTCACTAGTACAGTTCATCAAACTTCTGAATCTTATTATTATTTATTACACACAATAAAATTAAAAATACAAAAGAGAGATACACTAACGATAGAAAGTGCAAAGGGCGGCCTTATGCCTAACAAGCGATCTCTTCCAGGCAACCCATGATGACAGATGAAAGTTTTGGAAAATCGAGGTACTACAGTGGCCGAACCAAAATATACAATTTTAAAAATTTCAAAATAAAAGCTACAATTACTAAGTTGATTAATTTTCCCCGTGATTCGAACTCAATGCCTCGTTGATGCGTATACGAAAGCCACCGGTGCGTATTACAGACGTGTAAAAATGCTCTTAATAAAATCCTATAGAAACATTTATCCATTTAAAACAAAATGTACGAAGAACGAAAATTTTAAACAAACCTTTTGTAAAGCAACGTTATGCTTAAAGTGAGTTAAATACACATAATAACCTTTTATGCACACATTCAAACGAATGAAAAAACAGTTTTCCATTTTCAGTTCTTTCTGTGAATCGTTGAAGAGCCAATTATTTCACGAAATGGGGGTCAGTCCAGTTTTTCAGAATGGAAAAATTGTATCCGTTGGCTGCGAATTTTCCGAATTAACCTTTAGCCGTTAGCGTGTAATTTTTGCGTTACTATATTTGAAAACTTTAATATTATATTTTTTACATGTGGCATTCGCATGATGGCATTGGCATTATGAATTAAATATTGAATACTGTCTATAGTTTACGCGAGTAGTACACATTTAAATAAAACACTTTAACGGTTTAAAACGCGATATATTAGTTAAACTTATTTGGAAATGATTTTCAACTTCGGCCCGACGTTTCGGATGGGAGACAGTCTCCCGTAATCGTTAGTGTTTTTTTTTTAAATTGAATATTGATTATAAAATTTAAATAGGTGTAATATTTGATTTAACAATCAAATATACACAAACCTGAAAACCTTTAAACCGCGTTTCACGAATCTTTATTTTGTGTTAAGTACTGTCTATAGTTTGCGCCAGTAGTACACATTTAACTTAACTGTCTCCCATGACCACAGAGGAAA